TTTAACGTGACTTGGGTTTGGTTTTGTTTCCTTTTGGTGGCAGGTCACAGATGCGCCGTCCCAGGAAGGTCAAGAGCAAGAACCCGAGTCCTCCAGCGCAGAAAGTGACAATGTCTTCCTCATCAGGGCACAAGGATTCCCTTTCTCCTGCACTGAGGAAGACGTGCTTACCTTCTTTGAGGGTACAGGAGCTGTTTTTCTTCCTGAACTGTTCAGTGTGGTGTTATTGAACCCAGTAGTTTCTGATAAGTTAAGGGAAAGAAAAATTCAAGCTCGTTAGCCAGAGAAAGATGATTTTTTAATATTTCTGCAAAGTTATTTGTGATTTGCTCATATAAACCAAATAATCAGCTAACGAACTGCTGGACAACCACTAGAAAAATCATCCTTAGGACATCTTATATTTAACTGAGAAAGCTTTTCCTCTTATTGGGTGTCTCCACAGTAAAGGCAATCCAACATGAAATGGTTTCTTTCAAGACCATTATGGTAGGCTTTTTCCTCCCAACTGCTCTCTTTTAAACAAACTGGAGTGTTTTTTACTTACATGTTGAAACTTCAGAGTTGCTCTCTCATCCTAATTAATAGGCTTGCGTGTACCTTTGGTGGGCCCGTCTCTCCATACTGCAATGTTTTTGTGTCTCCTTCCAGAGTAGACTAGATAGTCAGATCCAAGTTTTTAAATGGTTTAATAACCTACTGAACCACAGCAAGTCGTTTTGAAGGTCTCAGGGAAAGGAATATGGAGCAGGCAGAGTATAGCTATGGACACTGAAAGACAATAACAATTCTTTTTTGATTTCAAATAACTCAGAAACAATTAAGTTAACCAACAATATGAAAATATATATTATCCAGTTCCGTAGCTGTGGAAGCTAATCGATGTCAAATCAGTTTACTTTCTGTGATAAACATTTCATGTTAAGAGTTAAGGTTAGAAATAGCTATTTCCTATCTTTTGTTTCCAGACCGTATTTTGCACTGCTGGGGGGGCTAGCTCTATGCAGAATATTCCACTTCCATCTGCAATCAAAAGAACCCCATGTTTGATACAGTTGCATATGTTTCTGTATCATGTGTTCCCTGATTTCTAGGCTGCAGGATTCGAAACGGTGAAAACGGCATACACTTCCTCTTAAACAGGGATGGGAGGCGCAAGGGGGATGCCCTGATCGAGGTGGAGTCCAAAGCAGATGTCCAGAAGGCCTTGGAAAAGAACCTGAGGTATATGGGTCCACGCTACGTGAAAGGTAGGTTTGAAATGCCAGAAGTCACACTGGAAAAAGACTCATGATGAAGTGAGAAAGAATTGCTTGCATAATAAAGCTGGCGGGTGTGCAGAGGTGCAGGATGTGGAACAGAGCAGCAAATGAGCCGACAAGGCACCATTAAGCCAAAACTTCCCATTCTGCAAAGGAAAAGCCAAGCAGCTCATGCACTGAGCAGCATCTCCGCAGGATCAGGGAGTACGGGGTGGGGGGGAAGAAACACCAAGTTTTGCAAGGAAGAAGCTGCCTTGAAGAAGGCCTGCAGAGAGCCACCCTCCCAGTACCCTGAGGGAAAACATGTTTTGTGCCTGTATTCCTTGCAGTTTTTGAAGTACACGACAGCGACGTCGAGGGCTTGCTACAAAGCCTGCGGGATGAGACACAAGCCATAAATGATGGAGTTGTACTACTCAGAGGCCTTCCCTTCAGCTCCACTGAGGACGATATCACCGATTTTTTCTCAGGTAACTGAGCCTAGTCTGTGCTCTTCGGTTATGAGGCCTTCTCACTTCTTCAAGTTGGTGCTTAGCCAGGCTGTTTTTCCTCTCAGTGAGACAAGCAAAAGCACACGCAGCCCTCAAAACCTTGAGCAGTGAAAGGAGTTGCCATCTCTCTGCAGCTAGAAGTAACTAAAGATTTCTGAACAAGCTTTTGGCTGCACGCTTCCTTGCACCTTTGACTTTCCGCAAGTCTAACCTCGGACCAGTACTTGCAGCACTCTTTTATGGGGGTGGGGGACACAAAGAGAGGAGGACCTAGATCCTGTGACCTACAATTGGATGGCTACCTGTGCATGACTGAGCAAACTCAAGAGGGAGGGAAAAAAGCCTATATGATAGTTCAAGTACTAGTAAATACAGCATAGGTGTTCACAGCTATATCATCACAACAGTCAGGTCACATGTGCCACTGTTAAAACTGTTAACATTTTTTTTTTTATTAGTGGCTTGTTAATGGCTGTCAAAGTTAACTGCAGCAGTTCTCAGCCGAGCAAGCATTGCTCAGCATGGGTGCGCACGCTGACGTCCCACTCTCCGTGCTAGAGCAATCCAGGTGGTTGCTGCCTGCATTTCTTAGCAAAGAAGCCTCTTTAGGTTATCGTAAAATAAAAATGACATTGCCTGAGGTAAAGTTTAAGTTGTAGACTAAACCTAAACCAGTTCTTCATCTCCACTTGTTCCACTCCAGGTAGGCATTCACATGGAGTCCTTGAGCACTAGGGCTCATCGTAACCATCATCTTGACAAAAGCAAAGGCTACTGGTAGTCAAGGTTTCAGTTGATTACCAGTAGTTAAATAAGTTTGAGGTCATTCCTGTACAACAGTGAGATGACTGGGGCAGCATTTTGAGCCAAGTTATTTCCATTTCGTCAGGAGCTTGGGGATACCCTTTGTGAAAGCAACAAGGCACAAAGAGGAAAGCAAAAAGCCATTCCTGTAAACACAAGTATAGGAGCTCGGCCTAGTGTGTAGCCTGTATCATACATCATAAATACCTGTCAGACACAGCTATTTATTGGATTTCGGGCACCCCAAGAAAACACACAGCACAAAAACTCAAGATCAGTTCATCGACTTGAGTTTTAAATTACGAGACAGGAAAAAATTCCTATAATAATAGAAGAAAAATTCAAGAACATTTGTGCTCTAGACTTCCCTGTTGTCTAGAACTTGAATTCACTTGTTTTTGTAGTTACTTGAAGCCTCAGGTGGATTCATTGTTGGCAATTAAGGCTTCTGTGAAAACGAACAAACAAACCCAGTAAATTGGAGTTCAAAACTGAAGTTATAAAAAAAATACATGTAGTCCAACACGAGCAGTTGTTTCGTAGTTACTTAACTGCCTGATTAGCTTGTCAAAACCCAGAAGAGTAAGGAAAGAAACTTTTCTCTGAGCTACAGCACACGTTTCTGAAAACATAAATGCCTTTCTCTCCCTCTCCTTTTATAGGTTTGGAAATAACTGACATAGTTTTTGTTTACCGGGGAGAAAGAAGAACAGGAGAAGCTTTCGTGCAGTTTGCAGCTCCTGACATGGCAGCTAAAGCCCTGTTACGACATAGGGAATATATGGGAAATAGGTAGGTGCTTCTCGGGGGTTCAGAAAGATCAAAGGATATTGTATATGGGACACTGTGTGATTTAAAACTTGCTTCTTCCCAGCTCAAACAGCTCATCTTAGGCTATCCCATATGTTATTACTAAGGAGAGTTCTGCTTTTATTACCCTTAAAACCTACCATTCAGACTTCAGATTCAAATTTCAGTAGAAATCATAGTTAATTATTTCTCTTAGTGATTTCAGTCTGTTGTCTTGGGGTTTAAAATATTCCTTTTTTAATAACATCCTCTGAAATACTCTGCATAAGCCAAATGTTATCTCTGGCAATATTTTCTTTAGAACCACGACAAAACTGGAGAAGAGGAAGCCTTTTCCAGGCTTCTGTGTGCTGCAGAGGCACCTTCAACGCTCGTACCCTGGAGGAATTTGGGGCCTCTCAGAGAAAGTATTAAGTATTTAAT